TTTCTACCTTTTATCAGTTTGAACTGCAAAGTGATATAACTCGGGGTATATAGCATAATTGACTCTCTCACTATATCGTTGTTATAGAGAAGCTTAATTGACTCTCTCACTATACGTACGTTGTGTTAAAGAAGCTTAATGATAGGAAAATTATTCTATTATTTATTATTAAATTTCTAAAAAATATAACTCAGTACTCGCTGCAGTGAGTGACAGAGAGCGCATTTTCTCGTAGACGAAAACTTGAGGTCGCGGACAGACGGACTGACTGACTGACAGACAGACGGACATATGGCGAGCACAATAGTGCATTTATTCCATAAATGAGAAAATGCGCTAACTAGATATAAAATTTTTCGTTTTGTTTTAGATATAAAACTTTTTCGCCTTGGAAAATTCCTTAATATCTGTCTCTTATACACATCTATNTCGTTTTTGCAGATACAAATTAGAAACTAGATATAAAACTTTTTCGCCTTGGAAAATTCCTTAATATCTGGGATTCAATTTTCAATCGAAAGCACAATCGTTGTCCCCATTTCTAAATTCATTCCGAGACATTTTATTCTCTCGGCCTCTTAAACTTTTTTTCCTGAAGATTTTCGTGTCGCAATGTCCCATGGCAGATTTCGCAAAAAAAAAACATTCCCGAAACGCAGGATTTTATTGTGTGCTTTCAGTTCCTCTCGAAAGAAGTGGATGTATAATCGTTTTCGTATCAATGCTGCAAAGTTTTTGGGGCCATACTTTCAAAACTCGCTAAGTTAACGTAAGTACTTACGCTCTATTTTCTTGTCTATGATTGGTGGATTTAGCTTGAAAGGCCGTCAATGATTGGCTGATGAACTTACGATCTCTTAACTTTTTTTGAAAGTATAGGCTCCTATGGTCTCCAAGCGCTATAGTGTTGAAGATAACTATAGCAACTAGCTGTTTATACGCGGCCCAAAAAATATGCTCGACCTTATTTATATAAGGTTGTTAATTTGTGTCACGCTTAAAATAATCATATTTGATTTTTTGATAGTTTTTGAATGGCATGTACGATGTTTTTTTTCGGGGTACTGCTATTGAATGTTTCTATTTAAATTATGGGTTCTGTCATCTGTAATAAATTTGTCGTATTAATTCATATAGTGTATTTAAAAAATATTCTGATTTGAGGTAAACCCTGCTGATTTGAGAAACTCGCTCATTCTAATTAATAAATTGAAGAGTTCTTGATAGGAGACTAGCTGGGGAGAGCTTATCTAGGTTAACCTAGCATATTTGAGGCAGGTATAAAAAAAAAACAAATAGCCTACCGCCATAGGTCTGTTTGCTGATTGAACATCAGTTTATTTGTTCTCTTTAGCTTTGTGTTATCCTAATAATCGCTGAATCCAGTTCAGATTACACCGCTAGATGGCACTGCTCATCGATGCTTGTATGTAATGTAAGACAATACAACAGATCATAGCGTGCAAATGATATATGATATGCTCGTATGTAATGTATGCTAATACAATAGATTATAGCTTCCAAATAATTAATGCATGTGTTTAATGAGCCACATATTTGGCGTTGCAAAGGAACCGAAGCTCATCACACTGATTTTACTATTTCGATTTTCTAAAGACTGTCCAACTACAATGGTTGTTACCTAATATTTTGCAGTTCTTCGGTTGAGAATCCTTTGAAAATAATTGAGAATTATAAGTTGAGAATTAAATCAAGTTAACTATCTAACTATGAACTATCTAATTTGTCAGTGTGATGGCATGACAGTAACTGTGAATCGAACCTTTGATCGTAGGTTGTATAGGATGAGAAGTTACAATCATTTTTATCGTTATCAGGCCGCTCTTTCACTCGACCTTTCCCAGTTAAAATTTAGGGCAGGTAATAGAGCAGGCCGTCGCCGGCTGCAGAGCCGGCGTAGAGACGCGACAGAGCAGCGATAGAGCAGAAATGTCCGCTTTAGAGACGATATCGCCAGCCGCGTATCAGCGCTCTCTTATACACATCTTAATACTTGAAACTAACTTCGTGGGAAGCCATTTTCTTTATCAATTTATCAATGTCTTAATTAGGCTTGTAGCCATTTCAATTGACTTCATAACACTTTAATTTCTAGTTCACTCCTCATTAAAATCTTCGATTATTATGTTAACCCTTTATATGCTGGGGTTAACGTTAACTACGGTTAATGTATCCGGCCGTAATAAACGAAGAGTTCTAAATTTACGTAGAGTTATGGCAGACGTGTTTCTACCTTTTATCAGTTTGAACTGCAAAGTGATATAACTCAGGGTATAGCATAATTGACTCTCACTATACGTTGTTATATAGAGAGAAGCTTAATGATAGGAGAATTATTCTGCCCGCCATATACCTCCCCGATCTTTCCAGATGTGTATAAGAGACAGGNGAGTAATTCCTACGTAGCCTCCTTAATTATTTGTAACATCTCTCGTGACGATGATTATATTCCATCAGCATCTGCATGGGAAGAACTGTTACACGCTCACCTACACCCAATTTAATGGGTGAGCCTTATGCATAATTGTAATTATATGCCATGGCGACTTCTGTGCCCTGAACAAACTGTCATATATGCTGTTGTTTATAGAGTCAAAAGGCGTTCTTACATACGAAGCAAACTGTCATTATTTGCCGTTATGGTGTGCTGTTACGCGTTTAGCGTGCACAATCATCCTCAATTACAGTGAGGCATTTCATTTTAAGAGCAAGTTTGCATAAATTTTGTGTTTAGGAAGTTTATTTACACAATGAATACTTGGATTTTACAATTGTGAGGAACACTATTGGATTATCACCCATGGAATGGTAGGCTCGCTGCAGGACCTTACTTTGCGCGGGCCATCACTCGTATCGTGCTCGTGTCAGTCGTACGTATGAATGGAAGTGTACTTGCATCAAAGAGTAGTACATTTGTAAATGCATCAAAGCGTAGTAAATTAGTACATGCGTTTCATCGTGTTGCTCGTGGTGCCCTCAATTATAACTCTGGATGAGCTCGAGTTTAATTAGTAAAGAAGTGAGTGCCTCCTGGCGACGAGGGTGGAGCCAGCCAGTAGGCGGTATCTCGATCAAGGCGTAACCTTAACTATCCAATACCGCGCTTCTGTGCCAGCTGCTTCTTTATTTTAAGTCACAAGATCGTCTTATGTTCACTTTACCTCATTTATTTGTCACTATTTCAATCTTTATATCACGAAATAATTTAGTGCGAAATTACTTTATTGGTCCAAAGTGTTAAATGTTGTGCAGAGCAGCACGTGGTGAGCATGCATGCCGCGCTCCGGTGCCAGTTTGTTTCTTAATGCTTCGTCTTGTTTCTTTTCGTCTCGCTGAGTGTTGTGTTCGGGGGATCCCCAAAGTGGTGCGTGTGGAGCAGTCGACGGTTTTAGTTCAGCTTCAACAGCAGCGTTAGCATCATTACTTTCATCCTCTACCTTGCGTATCTCTGGCACCTCAATTGTATTTCTCTACGATAACTTTGTTGGTCTGCTGTGGAAAGTCTGGCAGAAGTTATCCCGTTGTTACACTTGAAGAAGGAAGAGAGCTGCAGGTCTGTTCAGCAGCACCTCCTTTAGCTTTCTGGGCCCTCTTGCTTGCCTAAGCTTCTATCGTCGACTGTTGGCCCTCCCTCGACCCCTCTCGTCGTCACCGCCGGTATCTCGTGCACCTCACTCATCCAGCCCGAGCACGTGAGGGCCTGTTGCCACCATGACTTCACTCATCCAGTCTACCATTACGAATCTCCCAAACGTCTTCGTTTGGACACAGATTTTGTTCGTTGCTTAGTAGGAAAAAATTGTTGATACCGTGGATCACCGCAAGCCGAGGTGTCGTGGAGGCAAGCGTCTGTGTTCGCCTGACGAGATGCACACCTACTTGTACCCTCCGTCCTACTCTGACTTCCGTGAGTGCCTTCCTCACTTCACGTACATTATTACGTGCCACGCACTCAACACATCGTATTGATGATCCACACAAACATGTATTACGTGCACACACAAAATTACACACATTGACCACAAACCTCACTCTTAAGTATACCAAACTACCCACAAATTGTCGCTTAAAATCATATGATGATTCCTGTTCACACTCCAATACTTGCCGATTCGTACTTCATTAAACACGTGTTTTGTTCTTCGAATATTTTTATTAATTAATAACAGTAAATCTAACTCATGAAATAGTATTCGTAATTTTCCTTTGAGTTTTTGCATTTCTGTTTCCGACTTTTCGGTTGCGTTATTATAACTTACTCTTTGCTGTCAAGTTTTACGATGGTTGCAGGTTTATAGTTGCTTGCAAATTTTACAATGATCGTAAGTTTTACGATGTTTCTAGAGCTTCTTCACAAATTGGCCTGTTGAATTTGTAACGTACTTAGTAGATAGGCTCTTAATGCCCTTAATTTTGTACTGATGGTGCTCGAATGTACAATCTGTTCTTTATTTAATTCATTTATTGCTGGAAAACGAAAATTTTTAACTCATTCGCGTCAATAATTGAATGTTTATTATAATTTTCGAGATAGAAGAGCTGCTTGATCGTTACCTAGTCATGTGCAATCTTTATTGATGGATTTCGTTTTAAAAACGTCAATTATCCTGAAATTTTACCTCAGTGTGCGGCTAGTTAGTTTAATGATGTTAGACCGCCAACTGGCTTCAGTCCAAAGCGTGTGTAGTGCACAAGACGAGCTTCAAGGCGATCAAGTCAGAAATTTGTTTTAATAAGAACGGATCCTTCTGATTAGTAAACTCCTCGAATTTTGTTCCATAATAGGTATCTTATAAACATGTTTCTAGTTTAAGTATTGGAAGATATTTCTCTCTCAATGTTTTGAGTAGTGCATTAATATTCAAGTATATACTTGTAAAAACTTGACGGCTATCATGTAAGTTCTATAATGGCATTAGTTTATCGCAGTTAGGAGGCCTTCCCCGGCCATAACCCTTGTGTGTTTCTGCTGCTCGCAGAGTTGCTGGCTGGTCATGGCTCCGAACAACAAAGTCTTCCACCCGTACCTGAAGAAGATTTTTATTCTTCTGAAGTGGAAACTGCAGGTCTTCCTCCCCCTACACCTAACACTCCTCCTTCATACGCCTCAGCTTCATCATCCCCTCAGCCATCATCCATTCTGGAATCATTCCGTCCTCCTTCACAAGCGCGTCTCACTACCATCGACAATGCGAGTCTCTTGCCCATCGCGGACCATCACCAGGACGAACTGCAGCGCTCACAAGACGCGCGTGACGACGCACAGTTTACTCGCTCCTCTGACGATTGCTTCTACCCCATCAGCAGCATGACCAGCCTCCACAGCTCCATGGAGCTTCCCAGTGTAGGCATCATCACGAGTAAATCGCTTGAATTGAGCCATGACAACTATCATTTTACTCCGTGTTTGAGTCTAGTTCCTTCGACCCCTCCTTCACCTTCCGCAAACTTAGCTCCTCAGCACAATGCAACGCTCTCTCACCCTCCCCCTATCTCCACTCCTAAAGTGTTCACCCACAACTACAACAGCAACGGCCATCAAGATCACCAAGACCTGTTAATAGGCCTACCATCTCGCACCGCTACCGACGTCGTCACCAACGATGGACAGTCGGCAGCGCTAGGATACTCTACTGAGCAGCAAACATCGTCGTCTGCCATGCAGCATCATCACCAGCTGCACCAGCAACATGTTCTTCAACGAGATGTACAGGCTGGACTTGACAGTCTCATGCTGCACCCGCCCTCACCCATCATATCAGAACGTTCACATGGCGGCGAAAACATCGATGGCTCGCAACGAAGTCCCGACGCAAACGTAAGTCGTCACGTGATGCACCAAACTCGTCACAACAAGTCAAGTGACAACAAGACTATGCATGAGGGACACCATAACCTCCAACGAGTTTACGTTAAAAATCTCACCAATCAGAACTTGACCACCGTAGCCTCTTCGTCCTCTGACAACTGCGACTGTCGCACTACACTCAGTCATTCACATCATCCCCCTTCATCATCGTCATCATCTCCCTCCCCTAACTTCAGAGACGGACGTCGCAAGGCGGAATTCTTCGCTGTTCCCAAGGTAAGTCATATTCTTTCATAGTCTATAAAGGTAAGTCATATTTTCTCATAGTCTATTCAGGTAAGTCATGTTCTCTCTCACTCGCTGTCTTCTAGTCATAGTCTTTTATGGCGGTAATTGGTTTACGATTTCAAAAGGGTCACTATCGTTTACAGGAACAGTACTCTAGCCGTTCATGCAGACATAGTTCCGAGATGTAGAAACTTATTCTGGCACAGCTCTTAAATAATGAAGATTATATCATTTCAAAACAAAGCTATAAACCCCACGTGTAAATAACGCCATCGGTACTTTGACCCACAATAAATTTTCAAATTCTAATTTGTTTTGTGAACTTATTGACTGAACACATAATCCCCTTATACATATGTATAAGAAAATTACCCAAGCGGAGGTCGGATTAGAGTGTTCTTTTGTAGCGAAGTGTTGACCGAAATCGACGAGAAAGGTAATGTTAAGGTTAAACATTCTACTGAATATTAATTAATTGAATCAGTTCGTTTTTCATTCAATGGTCTGGTAAGTGTTCTTCATTTTACTCACTTTGCGTTTAGAAGTGTACGATACACTCGCCATCTACATATGTCGTTGAACTCTTGCTCAAGGTCAGTGTTCCACTAATGAAATGGATTACGCTGCATAACAGCGCTTTCCAAGCAAGTTGTCCTGATTTATTTTCTTGCCTGTTTCTTGACACCAAGCTGCTCCCTCTGCTGTTTGTGAGCATCCATGTTAGAATACGACTCCTTTACTGTAAATCTACGTAGCTGTTTGTGCGTGTTACTTATACGCCCGACGCTGCTGATGTCTACAACTGCTAGTATGTTAGAATACGAGGCCTCTGCTCATACACGTATAGGTAACTTTTTGTGAAACGAACGCCCGGTGTTGCTGATGTCCACAACTGCTCAGCAACTTAACCGAAGAAATTTTAAGGCACGCTCAAGTGCATAATGCCATCATTTTCGATTCAATAGAATTGAATTAAATTGCACATCGGTTTTGTTCGGTAAATGAGCCAAAAAATCACAGAGACATACGTTTGTATGGAAATATCTAACTATGAAATATTAGGAGAGACCATAGGAGCATGCAATCCAATAGGATTGCATGAGACGGAAGACCATTAGGAGCATGCAATCGATTCTTCCGTCTGTTGTTTTACTATTGTGTCCGAGCTTCTGTAGTCCATGTAATAATTTTATCTCAAGAATGTTATGTGTCAAAAATGTTATGCTTCATTTCTTTCAACCTCACTCTCATTAATTACTGATGTTTCGTTTATTTTGTATTGGCCGTATTAAAATGCAAGTTTCATGTCTTTCAAGCTATAAATTCACTTGTTCATTTCTACAAAGCCAGTTTGCACAAGGTAAGGTCGCTTGTCCTAACTAACGAACCATCCTGTATTCTAATCCAAATTCTTCCGCCTTATCTAACTCTAAGGTTCTATAATTCACTAGCTAACTTATGTCTTCTTCTCGCTCACTACTTGGTAAACTAGATAGCCAAATGGCAGTCAGGCAGTCAGTCTCTCTGTTGATAAGCACCAACTTCATCGCATTAATTGCATTAGCACGTCACGTTTCAACCATTCTCCTTGTTGATACGGACTTTCAGAGCTGGCTGGATGTATGAATGTGTGTGCTAAATGTGTGAATGTGCAAACGTTGCTATAGCTAAATGTGTGAATGTGCAGGCGTTGCTATAGCTAAATGAGTGAATGTGCAGGTGTTGCTGTAGCTAAATGTGTGAATGTGCAAACGTTGCGATAGCTAAATGTGTGAATGTGCAGGTGTTGCTATAGCTAAATGTATGAATGTGCAGATGTTGCGATAGCTAAATGGGTGAATGTGCAGATGTTGCTATAGCTAAATGTGTGAATGTGCAAACGTTGCTATAGCTAAATGAGTGAATGTGCAGGTGTTGCTATAGCTAAATGTGTGAATGTGCAGGTGTTGTTATAGCTAAATGAGTGAATGTGCAGGTGTTGCTGTAGCTAAATGAGTGAATGTGCAGGTGTTGCTGTAGCTAAATGTGTGAATGTGCAGGTGTTGCTATAGCGACATAGGTAAAAGCCCAGATGTAACTTCAGCTAAATACGTATTTGTATCTGAAAATTTTAGTAATCGAACAAAATGTGTTTAGAATGTGTAAATATTCGATGTCGAATTCAGGCTTCAAATGATCAAAGTCTGTCAAGTCAGAGCCGCGGCGACAGCAAATTCTTATTTCAGGCGTTAAAAGAATTACGAATCTCATGTGCGGACAATTAAGAGAGCGATTTTGAACGCGACTTACGTACGTGGCATCACTGTTGGTAACGCACCTGTTGCTTGGTAGCACGGCGCTCCTGTTGCTGGGCAGCACGGCGCTCCTGTTGCTTGGTAGCACGGCGCTCCTGTTGCTTGGTAGCACGGCGCTCCTGTTGCTGGGCAGCACGACGCTCCTGTTGCTTGGTAGCACGGCGCTCCTGTTGCTTGGCAGCACGGCGCTCCTGTTGCTTGGCAGCACGGCGCTCCTGTTGCTTGGCAGCACGGTGCTCCTGTTGCTTGGCAGCACGGCGCTCCTGTTGCTTGGTAGCACGGCGCTCCTGTTGCTGGGCAGCACGGCGCTCCTGTTGCTGGGTAGCACGACGCTCCTGTTGCTGGGCAGCACGGCGCTCCTGTTGCTTGGCAGCACGGCGCTCCTGTTGCTGGGCAGCACGGCGCTCCTGTTGCTTGGTAGCACGGCGCTCCTGTTGCTTGGTAGCACGGCGCTCCTGTTGCTTGGTAGCAC